CCTCTAGTGAATTCTGGACAGCAGAATGTGGGCATAAATGATGTACCCCACTTTCTGGCCTTGCCCCTGAAGATCTTCTGTGCCAAACTCCACACCTGTACTCTTCCTTTATTTGCCAACCGGATGCAGAAAACCCAGTGGGCAATTCCTTTCCACAACTCCAACCAGCGCTCACATCCCCCACTGTCACTTCCAACTCCTTGGACTGTACCACAGAAATAAAATCGACTTTTATTGTGTCAAGCAACTGGTATTTTGGGGTTTGGTAGTCAGTTAATATGTGTTTGATACATGGATGATTGGAGAAAGCAGTTGTAAAGGGAAATCATTTGATAAGTTCAGATATATAAAGTCACACTGTAATGTGTAGGTCTAGTTGCCTTTTGAGAATGAATTTAATTTGAAATATATAAAGAGAAGGAAGGAAGGAAGGAAGGAATAAAAGAAGGGAGGAAGGAAGAGAGGGAGGGAAGAAGGGTAGGAGGAAGGAAAAGAAGGAAGAAACAAAAGTAGGCAGGAAGAGAGGGAAAGAAAAGGCACAGGCTCCTTAATCATATATCTGTATATATTTACTTTACCATCAAGAAGTAAAGCAGACAAATAAATATTATAGATATATGTATATCTGTATATTGAATGATATCCAAAAAAGTTATAAAACTTCCATCAAAATAGAAAACAAGATACATTACTCCAATAAATGCCAAGCCTTTTCGACATTCTATAAACAGCATATTCAGGATGAATGCTAGTAATTTATTTTAGTCTCTGACAACAAGTGTATGTTCAATTTATGTATATTGCCCTTTATCAGAGCATAAACACGAGAAGGAATTAGAATTGATAATAAAAATGCAGTAGCATTAAAGGAAAACCTTACTGCAGAAAAAGTCATAGTCTGATTCTTGGGCAGGCTTAACGTGAGGACAATCAAAAATAACTGACCTAAGTTCTACTTAGCCCCGAGTTTAAGGAGCAGAGTGTGTCAGCAGCATCCCTCCTCTTCCTGTATTTTTTTCTCTTGGAGAGTACCCTTTTTAAAAATCTAATAACTGACATTGTCTCTTGTCATAGAGCACTTCTGTCGTGAGTGGGAAGTGGCTAGGCAGCATAAGCTGGGCTGCTGAGGATTTATGAAACCTTTGTGTTCTTGCAGAGATTTGCTCAGGGATGCAGAGCAATTGTGATGATCAAATACGTCTTTGCTGTACTGACTTGAAGTTGCAAACCAAATTTACATACCGTAATTTGATAACATGAGACTTGATAAACCGACCGTCTCCAGAACGTCGAAATATCCTAGACATCTGGATAGAAAACATTTTAAAAGTAAATATTAGTCTTAAGAAAAGTGTTTCTTCTCATCTTAGCTAGAGTCTTGAGGCAAAGACAAGGATTTCGGTTTATTCACAGGCTTGTGAAATGGTTATTTGTGTTGGTAAGACTAAACTGGGTTCTAATCCTTATAAAATTGAACAACCTTACCAAAATTGTTTGATTCTCCTAAACCTCTGTAAAATGGGATAGTGGCTTTACCTGCTTCAGAGTTGTTTTAAAGAATAAGTGAAATAATGGATGTCATACATTTCACACCCTGCCTGGCATGTTAAAAACTATTGATAATGTTCCTTTTGGTTATTGTCAAATGAGTTTATCTGTGCTGTTTTTTAAGGCAGCATTCCTCACTTTTCAGAAAACCCATCCTACATTTGCCTTATTCTCGAATATGGCATCTAGTCCACTATTGCTATCAATTTGTTGACGTCTTAAGTGATTATTCCATTGCGAGAGCACTTGACACACTGTGTAAACATCTGTGACTCTGACACCCTCACTTGGTAGTCATCTCTCTGGCAGGCAGAATGTTTCACCACAGTCCATACTGTCAGCATTCTATTACTCAGCTTTTCCAGTCTGAATCACTGAAGGACTTTGTATGTCCAGAGAGCTGATTTCCTAAAGGGACCTGATTCCAAGAAGACTGCCGAGGCACAGTCTTAAGAGACAAAAGAAAAAAAAAAAAAGAAAAGAGAAAGCACTGGACTGAGAGTCAGAAGTCAGAAACTGCAGGTCCATACAGGTTTACTTCCATAGTAAATCTTGCCCCCAAATTACTACATCCTCTGGGAAGACGGAATATTGCCTCCCTCTCCCTGACTCCTCTAGTGACAATGCTCAGTAGATTTTAGCTCCTAAATACTGAATCTACCTCCCATCTTTCAGTCCCACTGCTATGGTTGAAAATCGGCTCCTTCAAAACTTGTGCCTGGGCCTTTGCAGTGGTCCCCTCCCTGGCACTTGTATGTGGTTCTACTCTATCTTTCCTCCCCTTACGTGTTTCCCCACAACACAAGCAGTCAGGATGGTAGCTCTAAAGTACAAATCTGAGTATATTACACTCCTGCTTCAAACCCAATGTCTCTCTCTGTGTGAATTCCACAATTTTATCCCTTCATTGGCCTCACCCCACCCCTACCTTCAAGGCTAATTATCTTATCTTCTAAATTATCTACTCTTTCCTAACCCTGCTGGATTGGTTGACACCTCTACAACTTTGTACATTCATTTCCCTCTTCCTACAGTACACTTTTTTCTTGGGCAAATTTCTTCAATGACAATTCTCTTATTCTCCAATGACAGCTAAAGTTATCTTTGACTTGCCTTCCTCAGAGTTGAACACCTCTTTATTTGGGCCACCCCTGCATCTTGCACATGATTCTGTTGTAGCGATTATCACACTGGTTTACAGTTGTCGTTCCCACTCTGGACTGTGAGCTGTGTGACAGCAGGGAGTGTGTCTGATTCATCTTTGTACCCTCAGTGTTTAGCATATTGCCTTCCATAGGCAACACTCAGTGCATGTTTGACAGATAAATACATGAATGAATTAATGAGTAATTAAGAATCAACAATACGGTAAAGGGAAGAAGATAATGACGCATTGTTTTTGTTTTGTCTGTAAATCATGTTGCCAAGGGTAAGTCGAAATCCATGGGAATCTAAAGCAAGATGGAAGCCTGAAGGTGACCTCAGTGGTGACCCCCCACCATGGATGGTCATTCCAGGGGTTTGGATCAGTTCTGAGTTAAGTCACTTATGATTTCACTAAGCTTTTCTGAGCTCATTTTATTTCCATTTCTCAAGGAACAAGGAGAAAATCTGTTTTTAAGATCTCCAGCACTTAATATAAATGTCCCCTGAAATTCTGTGTACATAATGGCACTTTGGGAAAGGATCAGGATTCTGTCATATCAGAGTATAAAAAAACATCAAGAGTCTATTCAAACCAAAATATATTAATAAGAACATGCTTCCCTGAGGAGTCAACCTCTATTTGAAAAAATGGGTAGATTCTGATACACTACAGTATTGGTGTAACCACTTATAACAGCTTACACATGTTAAGCCCATACTACATGGTAGGCATTGGACCAATTCCTTTGTCAACTTCATACCATCTCATGAAGAGAGTATTTTCTTTATTATCATCAGTTCCATTTTATAGATGAAGAAACTGAGGTTCAGAAACTTAACTTGTCTAAGGTGGCATAGGAAGTGGTGGATACTTGGCTCTAGAGCTTGTGTTCCTAAGTATATTAAGTGACACTGACAGCCCAGAGTTACTTACATGCCTGATGACAGATGTTTAGATTGTTGAGGGTAGGCAGGTCTTGAGGCAGGAAACTCTTAAAGAAGGCCTCCAAATACCTCTTATTTCCTGAACCTAAACCTCATAAAAGATAACCGCTTGGGAGGTTGCTTCCTTTTTGCTTCTAGCTAAATAGGGCTGAGGGGACTACTTCTCTTCAGACACGTAATCCTTGTTGTAACCAGTTTCTGGAGAAGTTTAATTCGTGTTTATATTTTTCTTCTGGGATCTCAGTAATGTTATAGTTCGTCCAGATTACAAAAATTAATTGTACCCTTCCCTTTTTATAGCCCAAATCTAAGCATAGATTATTTTACTAGAGATTATTCCACTTAAAACAAGATTGAGACTAAGCCCATGGTAAAATGAAAAATTAAAGGTTCACTTTAAAATCAGATACCAGTTGCAGTCCTTGGTTTGAACTCCAGCATCAAAAAACAAAATAACACATTTGAAACAATACGTATGTATGGCTCTGACTAATAGTACACTCAGTTACTGTCTTTGGCAAATTTGAGCTTGTATCTTCCCTCTGGCTGGGAACTGCATGCAAATTAAGTCCTCATGGAGGATCAGTAGTTACTGGATGACAGCTAAGAAATCCCTTCTGGGTCCACCCAAGAAAGTAAGCCAGACAAGTTCTGCAGATTTCCTGCTCCTGTCAGGGGAATATGTACCAGCAGCGGGCAAATATACCTGAAAAAACCAGACTGCTTTTCTGTTTTCTCTCCATGAAGGCTTCCTGCTAGCTCAAAGGGGTTTTTACTTCCTCAAACCCCCTAAAATACTTATTGTTTGAGTCATATATTTGACAATTATATTCTGCAATGTGGCAACGCTTATGTTTATAAAATCTCATATGTCATGTCATCTTGTTATTTTACATGCATAAATTTCCATGTGTAAATCACATTATAGACTCCAGATAGAGAAAGGACTGTATTATGTAGACCTCGGCATTTTTCACAGTTTTGCACAAAGGAGGTGCACAACAATATTTTGATAAACTGATTAACTCTCCAGCTATGGTTAAGCTTAAACAATGGTGTGAAGAAAAAATGCTGGCTTTTGCACTGCTTCAAGACTTTTTGACTGTATCCTGTCACCTCCCCTTTTTCTCATGTATTTATTCATTCAACACAATTGATTAGGAATGTCCTATGTTTCAGGCACTGTGACAATACCTGATAAAGAGTATGAACAAAAAGTTGTGGTCCTTGGGCTCATAGAATAGAGAGACAGATGGTGATGAATAAAAAGAATTAAGTACAAAATGCAACTAGTATGGGAAGGTATTATAGGATAATGGCCAGGGGTCTATAATTACTTCCAGGGGGGTAACATGACATCTGAAGGATCATAAGAAGTAAGCAACAAAAAGTAGGATCATGAGGAAATTCCAGGCAGAAGGAAGAGAATTTGTAGATAATCCCAAAGAGGACCATTGTGGGCAGAGGACAGTGAGCAAGGAGGAGAGTGTAGAAGTTGGAGAAATAGTCAGAGCCTCTAGATACTAGATGCCATAGCACTCCTCCTCTCAGTGTGACAACCAAAAAGTGCTCCCAGGAATTGCCAAATAACTTTTGGGAAACAAGATTGCCCTCAATTGAGAACCACTGGGCCAGATTATAGGTCAAGAGAACTCAGCCAGAAAGGGAGTCCATCTGCTCTAAAAAACTCCAGGAGAGACTCAGCACTTGGAAACATTAAATACAAAAAAGAAGAAGGGGTGAAAAGAGAAATTAAAAAGCTAGTCACATTTCTATACACCTGTAAAAACCAGTTAAAAACATGTACTTTGAAAAGATATCAGTTAACAATGACCGAGTACAAACACACACAAACACTAAAAAAACCCAAATAACGACAACAATAAATCTAAAGAAAGGTTAACTGGACCTTTTAGAAAAACACTGTGGTATTATTGAAATACAGTAAATAAGTATAAGTAAATGATGTCAATTATTTAGTTAAGTCAAAATCTCAATATGAAGGGTGTGTGTGTGTGTGTGTGTGTGTGTGTGTGTGTGAGACTTGGTATGGAAAAGAAAAAGAACAAGAATAATCACTATATTCCTGAAGAAGATGATGATAAATCCAGGTGTATGGGTTGAATGGTGCCCCCCAAAGATATGTCTAACTCTGGAAATATGTAAATGTGTCCTTATTTGACAGAGGGTCTTTGCAGATGTAGATAAGATGAATCATTGTGGAGACATTATCCAGAAACACCCTGAATCCAATTATAAGTGCCCTCCTCAGAGCAGAGAAGCACAAAAACACAGAGGAGGAGGCCAGATGAAGATGGAGACAGAGATTAGATTTATGGAGTCACTGTCATGAAATGCCTGAAGCTACTGGAAGCTGGAAGAGGCTAAGAGGGGTTCTTCCCTAGAGCCTCCCAAGGCTGCTAACATCTTGATTTCAGATTTCTGGTCTCCATAACTGTGAGGAAGTAAATTTCTGTTGTTTTAGCTTGCTAATTTTTGGTAATTTGCTACAGAAGCCCTAGGAAACTAATACAACATGTATCAACACATTTCAAACTGTAGAGGTTGAAGACTTGTGATATCGACACAGTGAAAAACAAGCTGAGCAATGGAACAGATTAGAGAGCCCAGTAACATCCCACGTTGTACGTGGAAATTGGAATTTGGGCGGCGAAGGCATGGCAGATCAGCCAGGAAAGGACTGACTATTCAGTCAGTGGTGCTAAAAGAAGTGCTTATTTTCGTAGGGGGAAAAATGAAATTAAATGCCTAACTCAAAAACACTATCACGGCTGGTGGTCATGCAGATGTCTACAAACCCCTTGGAAAACCACTGATCATAATCTAAAGTTGAGTCTGTGACCCAAGAAACTCTGTGCTTGGTTTATGATCTAGGGAGGCTCTTGCACATGGAATAGGAGGCATAAGGATATGCATTACCTGCATTGTTCATAAGTATAAGAAGTAAAAACACTCCAAATGTTTGCAATCATAAAATGAATTAAATGGTATATTCTTTCTAGGGCATTCTACACAGAAGTGAAAATAAATGAGCCTAGAGCTACATGCAACAAAATGAAAAATTCGTTAAAACCAGAATGTTGAGTGAAAGAATAAATTCACAGAAGGATATAATATGTTTCCATTTATATAAAGAGAGTCAAATTGCACAATATACTATTTTCTGTACAATTAGTCAAACTGAAGTTTTCACTGTGTTTGGCAAAACAAATTAAACAGAAAGTAAGGATTTAAAAAATGAATGAAAGGAAAAAATACAAAATACCAAGACACATCATTACGAAATTTTAGAAAACTGAAGAGTAGAGTATAAAATGTCTAGAGAAAGAACAGATCACTTAAAAACACACTTTCTCCTCAGCCACATGTAACAGTAATAAAAATGAAGCAAGGCCTTGGATGGTCTGATGGGAAATTATTTTTAATTTGAAGTTTTACATTCAAACTATCAGCTGAATGGAATACAGAATAAAGGATTCTCTTGGCATAAGTAAGTCAGAAATATTACTTCTCATGCTCTTTTTCTTACAGAAGGTACTTGAGGACATAACCCACCAACCACATCAAGGAAAACATGGGATGCAAGAAGTACTGGGTTCACACACCAGAGCAGTCCTTTTATGACCCATGTTTATCTCTGTGAAGGGGTAGAAAGCAACCAATTCAAACTAAAGCAGGGAGCACAAAGTTTTAAGAAAGAAGAACTCAAAAAATAAAGAAATATTGAGACCTTGGAAATACCTGAAGATACTATAAAATGGCTTAAAAAAAGAGTGAGTCTATCTATTCAGACTTTTTTCTTGGCGCATTATTCCTTGAATGGCCCAAGAAGTGCAGTAACAAATAAAAAGTGTTGGTGAAGACGTGGAGAAAAGGGAACTTTCATACATTGTTGGTGGGAATATGAATTGATCCTCTACACTCTAGAAAATAGTACAGAGGTTCCTCAAAAAATTAAAACTAGAGCTACCATATGATCTAGCAATCCCACTTCTGGTATTTATTTGAAGAAAATGAAAACACTAACTCGAAAAGATATCTTTACCCCCATGTTCACTGCTGCAGTATTTACAATAGCCATGACATGCAAGCAACCGAAGTGTTCACTGATGAATGAGTGGGTAAAGAAAGTGTGACATATACATACAGTGGAATATTATTCAGCCATAAAAAGAATGAAATCTTGTCATTTGTGACAACATTGATGGACCATGAGGGCATTATGCTAAGTGAAGTAAGTCAGACAGAGAAAGATAAATACCATTTAATCTCACTTGTTTGGAACCTTAATGAACAAACAAACAAAGGAAAAAACCCAAACTCACAGATAGAGAACAGATTGGTTGGTGGTTGCCAGAGGTGAGGGGTGGGAGATAGGCAAAAGGGTGAAGGTGGTCAAAAGGTACTAACTTCCAATTATGGAGTAAATGAGACTTGAGATGTAATGTATAACATAATGACTATAGTTAATAATACTCTATTGTATGTTTGAAAGTTGTCAAGGGAGTAATCTTAAAAGTTTTCACTATACAAAAAATTATATAAAACTGTGTGGTGTTAAAAAAAAACAACTGTGTGGTGTTGCATATTAACTAGACTTATGGTGGTGATCATTTTTCAATACATAAAAATACTGAACATTATGTTGTAAAACTGAAACTAATATAATGTTATCTATCAATTATATTTCAATTTAAAAATAAAATAATCTAAACATAATTCTGAATAAAGCTACCTCCCAATAAAACGAAAAAAAAAAAAGAACTATGGCAACAGACTTGTAAAAAATACTATTCTGTTAAATGACAAACACTATTTAAATAGCTAAGGAAATGAGAATACTCTTTGCTGGTTTTCAACATTGAGAATCAACTTGTATAGTGATAAATAGCCAAATAAAATGCATATGCCCTTCTACGTTGTTAATAATTCAGAGAAAGGAGAGTGCAGTGAGTAAAGAGTGGGAGTGCCTAGCTCCTCATCCTTTAATTGAGGTAGTGTCAGTAGCTAATCATAAAGAATCACACTAATTCACTCCCTTTTCTATAGACCCATTTCTTCTTTGTTCCAGAATAACTCCTAAGCTTAAAAAAGTACACTCTAGGCTAACACCCTGGGTTCTGCTAAAGAAATCTGTGGTCTCCATAGACATGATTTTCATTGAACAGAAAATGAAAGACTGTTCTAGTTGAGTTTCTGCTATGATATGTAAGGATTTAACTTGCCTAATAAACTTTTAAAAATTAGAAATGCCTTGACAAGTGCCTCAGTTTTCAAGGAAAACCGAAATATTTGAGGGGCATGACTAAGTTTGAGATTGATAAGAATCAGAGCACACATCCTTGTATGTGACCCTTTATGTGCTTTTAAAAGTAAAATAAACAAAATGATAAGGCAAAGATAGCAATCAAATATTCTTATGTTAAAATGTTTCAGGAAAATGAACCAAGAAAGAAAATCAAGAGTTTAAAAATAGAATATCTGTTTCAGCCAGTAATTTCCTCCGGTACTAATTAGTTGCCTGCTCTAATCTACATACATTAAACGTACATGACATTATCCTAAATATTTTACATACATTAAGTCATTTCATCCTCACAGCCATATGACCTACATACTATATTATTATCCTCATTTTACAGAAGAAGAAATCAAGCTTGGAGCAGCTAAGTTCCTATAACAACCACAAAGTAAGGCAGAAAAATAACATTCATAAACTTTCAAAGTTTCTGTTGGACTTACCATTCTCTCAATCTGATGACTTCTTTCCATAAACTCTCTTGAGGTTCTCATTCCATAATTTTCTTTGTATTTTATATTTGTAACTTTAAAAGAGGCAAGATAATAGAATGACTTATCATCTGAAAGGTAAAAATAAAATATCTGTGCTTAGATATTATCAGTACTTGTCCCCCATCTCCAGGAAATAGGTTTACTATAATGCAGCTTATTTCTTCTTAGTACAAAATACATTATAGTCAGTTTTCAAATATTTTATAATTTCATTATTGCACCCAGCTAAAGTAGAAAATTCAGATCTCAAAGTATACTTTCAGAACACTCATTTATAGTGTTTACCCACATAGAAATTTTTATACAATTAGATAAACAACATACAATGAAAGTCACATATTGAAGGCAATTGCTTACAGTCATGTAAAAATGATCAATTTCCTTAAAGAATTATAATATAGATATATCATAGTTAAACTGTATTATGAAGGTACATTGAACAAGCTATCACTTTTTTCTATGCTACTGATAAGCTTAGTTAGATAGAAACCTGTATTTGTTGTTTTCACTTTCTTTTTGCCCATTCAGTTCTCAAGTCTCTGTAATTTACTCCTAACACACTACTGAAGCTGCCATTGTCAACAACAACGGTTGTCATAACTAATAGCCACCTTTGCTTTGCTTTGGTTTTGTTTTTTTTTTAAATCATCTTGATTTCTTTGTGGTCTTAATCATGTTCCTTGAAATCTAGTCTTTAGTTTTATGAAGCCATTTTATAATTTTCTTTCTTCCTCCTGGTCACTCCTCAGTTACTTTGGAGGACTCTTTATTTCTACATCTATATCCTTAGCCATTCAATGACCTAAAGTTGGCCTGGTCATGTTAAATAATTTCTTAGGTTTATCCTAACTATAATGCTATTTGTTGATGTTAAAAGGTAAACTGAGGCATGTTTGGATTTGCAAGACTTTATTTGAGCATACATAGATTCAGATCTGGCAGCACCAAACTAAAAGTGGGTTAGGAGCACTTCACCAACAGGAGCTAGGGGAGATAACGTCAGGTTTATAATAAAGTAAAAACTGGTCACTTACAATTATTGAAATCCTTAGGATAAAAATAACTTCATCAAACACACTTCAATCCTGGAGATGTAAATTTTACCCTTAAGTCTGCTAAAATCCTTACTTCTGTTTTGGTTATTTCACATATTTCATTCTTTTTAACTTCCTCCTTTTCAGATCCATTTATTTCTATTCTTTAATATCAGTATTTTAAAAATAAATTTTCTTCTTCTTGGTGTTATTCTAGTTACTACCATGTGTGTTTTTTTGTTCTGTTTTGTTTTATTTGCTGACTTTATTTATTTATGCTATAAAAAAAACATACATTACTTTTCTGAAATGTGTGTCATCTTAGTTGCTTCTGTCTTACCTCTTCTACTAGTTTATCATCTGACAGAGACTATCTTCTCTTTTGTTTTACTAAATTGCCATCCTTTTCAGGCTAATCTCAATGAGCTTCATGAGAAGTCCATGTGACCAATTTATTAACCTCTTGATTGTTAACCTCTGTATTTCCTTTTGTTGCTATAACCAATCACCACCAATTCAGTGCATTAAAACAACACAAATTTATTCTCTCACAGTTCTGAAGGTCAGAAGTCTGAAATGAGTTTTACAGGGCTAAAATCAAGACCTGTTTTTCCTGGAGGATCTAAGGGGAGAATATTTTTCCTGGCCTTCTTTGGCTTCTAGAGGCTGTCCTCATCCTTAGTCTATGCTGAGGCATCACATTGTTTGCTTGCTTCTTGTCACTATGTAGTCTTCTTCCTTTGACCTTTTTGCCTCTCTTTTATAGACACTGGGATTACATTTAGGGCCTACCTGGAAAATCCAGAAAGATCTCTCTTTGAAATCCTTAATGTAATCACACCTGGAAAGTCCCTTTTGACATATAAGGGAAAACTCATAGGTTACAAAGATGCAGGCACATGTCTTGGGAGTGTGGGAACGTTATTCAGCCTAATACAACCTCTATGATATTTTAAAAATATTTTTTAAACCATTATTTTTAATATCACTTTACTTTTTTCTTTTTTGAACACACACAGTATTGAAGATAAAGGGATTTTAAACTCAAAACTACTTCACTACCTTTTAACCCAAAGAAGATATTAACAAGAAAGATACATCTGCAGGGGTTAATGTGGTTTATCCTTTTATTTCACGAGAGTCTAAGAAATAGGTATCATCAATCCCCCGGTAAAGTGGATAGGAAGGTTAACTGAGCATGTTGGACAATATTTCATTTTTTCCTGGGAAGTCTTTCAAGTATGCTTTTACTGTTGAGTCATGGGATTCTATAAAATTCTAAGCAAAGTCTCAGTCACATGTGATTGTAAATACACATACCAATGACAAAGGTAACTGACCATGGTTGTTTGTCATTTGGTTGAACTGTGGTCCTGACTATCCATTTTTGCACATAATGCTGAATTAATTCTGAGTTTTCTCTTCTCCCCCCAGTCATGAAACAATCTCTTTTTCCTTCAAAAATAATGTGTAATCTTTAGCCCTTTAAAGATTTCTTTTAAGATAACTTTTCTCATATCAGCTTTTCTTGGGGAAACTTATTAATATATTGATTTTTAAAAAAGCATATTAAACTCAACAATGACATCCTTATTCTAAAGATAATCTTCATTCTTTCTCTTTTTAAATATACATCTCTTTTACATGTGTCTATCTATATAGTAGTGTATATTGCAAGATTCACTGGCTGGAAATAAGCACCACAGGGCTCAATATATGAACAAACTAAAATTTAACATCAATAAAGAATTAGTCATTAAAATGCTAATAGCATGCAAATAACATTTTTTATACAACAGAGATTTTTACGATGTTAAGTCATGGAGCACTTAGGCAATAGAAATGTGACCTGGATACTTACCCTCAACAACAAAATGAGTAACAATACCAATTGCAATTCCTATGATTGCTACAATTGCCAAAGTGTAAAGAGCTAGCCTTATTGGGTCCCAAAATTGTTGTTTTCTTTGATATTCAACTTGTGGGTAATCAGCTTCTGAAAATTCAACTGGTCTGTGATAATGGAAAGAAAAACATTAAGACAAATTTCAGTATGGTTCTACTCTTGTGTTCACTTGCTCTTTTCCTCTGTGAGAATAGTTTTTACTGTTAATTAATAATAGGATACTTAGATTTTAAAAGAACACAAGGTTTTAATATATATACCTTCCCCCAACACCTCAATCACAGTGTAAGTTAGTTAAAACTCTACTGATGTTGACATTCAAGTGAGGATATCTTCCTGCTACACTTTGTCTGACATATAGGCAACATGAATTTTGAGTGGTGAGGTATAAAGACTTACTTAATAAAAAGGTAATTTATAAATAACATTTTCATATTTTAATAAGGGACTTTTTAGCAATAAAGTTATATAATTCATCAGTTTTACTTGAGTAAAAGTAGAAGATTTTAATATGCATAATTAAAAATTTCTGAATGACTTGTTCTTAAAGTAGCAACATTACTCTTAAAGTCCTGAATTGATTCCTCACATTTTTATTAGCACCTCCCAGTGAAACCACAAATTGTGAATTGTACTTGATAAGACTCCAGTCCCCATGACTGGATGCTTTTCCATGTGACACTTACCTGTCCCAACTCATGTACTACCTCCCCAAGCAGAATATCTTAAGCCATTTAAATTATCTTCCTCCAACCTGAGAGCTGGTATTTATTTACTTCATTTTCTGAATCCCCAAATAGGATTCAATATTTAATATTTGCAAATGAGATATTTTTGTAAAAGTTTTTACGTTTTAATTTTATCTAACAAATATTTATTTAAATTTTACTCATTAAATGAGATAATCTTGAGCATAGTATCTACCATATTATGATAATGCTTCAGAAACTATCCTAGAGCCAAAGAGGTATAAAGATTTTAAAATATACTCTTTTCCTCCAGGACACTCACACTTTAAAAGGGGATACAGACATAGAAACAAGTAATTAATATAGTGTGAAATGTGCCAAAATAGAACTTTGTACAAGAAGAGAAAACAATTAACCTCTTGGAAGGCTGTGTCAGGAATTTTATCAAGAAAACAACACAATTAAAACTTTGAGTGATAGAAGTTCTCCAGGTATAAAAAAGGAGAAAAGAACAGAAAAATAGCATGTGCAAACAAACAAAAAACCTCAAAAAATCTAAGAGTGTGAAACAGCATTTATCCCTAATAATTAATACTGGGAAAAATATACATGTAAAATGCGGCTTTTGCCCTCAAAGAATTTATGGTCTCCCAAAGTATATCCATGATTGCAAGTCTTTCACAGTATTGCTGTGCTAGAAAGAGGATATGGTAAGGCTGGTGGGCTGGACAAGCTTATGAGGAGTCTTATAACCCAAAGGAAAGAGCTTGAAATTGACTCTGCAGGGGGTGGGCAACCAATGAAAGTTTTAATTAGGCTAGAATTTAGAACAATCACAGAGGTATGAATGAGAATTAGAGCAAGAGTGTAGCTAGGAAGACCAGTTTAGAAGTAATTTTGAAGGTCCAGGAGAGAGAGGGTGAGGGCCTGAACTAAGGCTGAGGCAGTGGGGTGGAGAGGAGGAGATGATTTAGCTCTAGTCCTGGAGCTTTGTTCCCGGCTTAGCTGTGGGACAAGGAAAAGATTAATGGCTCCTTTGTTTCCATGTTCATGTAATGTGTCTCCAGTTAAGATGCTGAAAATTAAATGAAGAGAAAGTGTTTCCAACATAGACATCAAAGTTGTTAATAATGAGCAGTGTGCTGTCTTCGCACTTGGTCTGAGCCAAGTGGAAAGTATCCATTTTTTATATCTTCCCGTTGACTCATTTTATTTTAATTGTGTCACTAACACCTGTTTGCATGACTCTAATAAAAGTAGCTATTCAAGTTGGTACTACACAACCCAGAAAAAAACAAAAAAATGTTACTTATATTCCCATGTACAATGCCCTCCTCCTAATTCACAACTGAAGTCTCCAGTTCCAAAATCCAGGCATTAAGTAGTCTTGATTATTTAGTGTATGGATATTTTGGTTGCTGCAGGTTTTTTTCTTTTTAATTCACTTCCTTTCCCCCTAAGTTTCGTCAATTTGGTTTCAGTATCCTGAGCCCTTCAATAAGCAAGAAATGACAAAAATCAAATTCTCTCAAATTTATGGGGAGGATGTTATATTACATCATGATAACACTGTATCATGGTAAAGGAGATTTTTAAAAATCATAGCCATATTTAATTTTAAAATGAGTATTGTCTGGTAATCTGCTGCTCTCAGTCTGATATAACTGTAATATTGACTTTATCTCATGTCAAAGTTGAAATAAGTTTGGCCAAAAACTCATTTCCGTATCTTGAACAGAGTTGTAGGGAACAATATGCAGGTACCAGCTAACTGCAAAGGAAGTGATGTTTCCCTAAGAGGGGAAAAAAGTTCATAAAAACCTAACAAAGTACTCAGAAAATTTAAAGAAATTTGTTAGTTAGGCTGTTGTGAAATGTCTGTGATGAGCATAATAGATAAAACACATTCAAAGCAGTGTTAAGTGTGTAATGAACTTTGAGAACTTGGCTATGATAAATTAGAAATATCTTTTTAATGTACAATTGGTTCAGACTTTGAAAAAAGATTATTTTAATTTGATCACACTTAAAATCCCTTTATATATTTCTATATGTTTCTTCTGATTTGTACATTACAATTATTTATTCATTTAATCTGAATGAGTCTAATAATAAATGGAACTTTTGATAAAAGCCTTTTATGCTAACTAGTATTGCATCTGTTTAAGAGAGAGAATTAAGCGTAAACTTGTTCTTTAAAAAAAGTCCATTAAAATGAACAAAATAAAGGAACTAAAGTCTTTCAGTAATTTGAATAAAAGTAAAACTAGAGTGGTTACACAAATGAAGTACCCATGTAAACATTATTAGAAAAAGCATGAAATTCAGCATCAGAAATCCAAAGTTCAAGTCTTTGGTCATATATTAACCTTTTTATCTTGATGTATCTGATTTTAAGAATCCCTTGCTGATTAAATTAGGGTGATAATATCCCCCCCAACTTTTAAAGAGGTTGTGACGACTTAAAGTTATGTATGAGCTATTTCATAATTTCTGAATAACTATATGAATAGAAATTGTCAGAAGCTATAAGCTTCTTTGAGGAAAATAATAGATTATTCTACTGCTCTGTATCTAACCATAACTAGCATGATTACTGACATAAATATTGCTGCTCTTTGAATGAATGAATGAATAATGAATGAAAGAGTTACACTCTTAGATTCTACATCTAGAAAAATAATTTGCATACGAAAGCTAAAAAATTCTAAAATAAAATTATTATCAATACTTACCAATTATTTTATAAACACCAACCATATTTTAGGCACTAATAATTACTGAATACACAGTGAATAAAATGAAAATGTGTGATCCTTGCTGTTGTAGTGTTTGTAGTCTAGAAGGAGAGAAAGATAAAACTAGTAAGCATAGAGAGCCTTAAAGTTGTGATAATAGCTATGAAGAACATGAATAGGATGACTGTGACTGAAAATAAGAGTATATAGACTGGGCGGGGAGAGGGAAACTACTTGAAAAGAGGGAGTCAGGGAGACCTCTTTGGGAAGGTAGCATTTATGCTGAGACGTGACTACGAGGAGATCTTCCACGTGTAGAATTGTTGCAAGTCCGTTTCTGGTGGATAGAAAGTGTGCGAAGTGCCTGCATTAGAAAATAACTTGGAGTTGGGCTTATTGGCCATTAATCTTATCAACTAGGCCATTAAAATTATTATGGAGAAGCAGTTATAAACCAATGAACATTTCCTGGCTTAAAATATTGTTAATAAAAGAAACATTTCAGTTTCTTTAGCAGAAGAAATTCCTTTTATATTACTGCAGAGGTAACCCCTGTTTATATTTTCCTATGGTCTTAGCCTATGCTGCTTTTTCATTCTTATGACTTAACTCAGCTAGATATAGTAGACAAGCTACATTATCAGAGAGCTGAAAGATAACATGTAGAAAAAAAAAAAAACCTCAGTCTTACACCTTTCTTTTGAGACAGTCTCACAAATGTTTTGATCAAGAGAGCAAATATAACCTCTGTGACTGCCAACCACCCCCCAAAATGCCACCTGTGTAGTGTAGCAATTAAGCCCAAGAGTTATATCCTGCTTTAGAGGCAGCTCTTGGGTGATAAGCACTATAATCGTGTCTAAATAAACAGGTGAGAAAGCTTGCCCCTTCCCAATCACCTGTTGTAACGAGCTGTATAATTAGTGTATCAGAGATAGCTGATGATTGGACGTATGACAGTTGCGTATTAGAGAGAGCTTATAGCTAGTTCAGTCTTGAACTTTTAAGAAGTTTATTTAAGCAATTGAAACAGACCTGCTTTTCCATAGTTTCCTTTATAGAACTTTTCTCAAAATGGAGGCTTTTATGACAAAATTAATTGATTTTCTAACGAGTTATTCAAGGAGCACTGTGCAGAAGTAGGCCACCTTCATTATATATTGCATTAAACGGCGTGTCTTTTATGTCAGGCACATTGGGACAATTGTTATATAAGTAAGACATATTCTAGTCCCTCAAGTCTCAACGTAGGTAAATCTTTTAGATTCTTGATTTAATGTGAGAGTCCATGAAATAAAAGTCGTTCAAAATCCAATGAAACATGAAGTTACATGGAAAAGTCATAGTAATTTTGACCAGATTAAAGAACAATGAGTTACAAATAAGTCATGATAATGAAGATGTGTAAGATAGCCTATTAGTGCCTAAGTTATTATTTCAGAATTTTCAAAGTTAATCCATTTGTTTCCTTTTAAAGAGTTAAATTGAAATATTTGTAAGCATACAAGGTTCAGGTGGATTGTGCAAGTCACAAGAGGACACTCACGATGAGAGAGATATCCCCAGACTAGAGTAAAACTTCATTAATCACTAACATCACTGCCAGGTGTTCTCTGGATGGTATAGCTAAAGATTTGTCAGATGACAAAAGGGTTACATTTAAAATTTATATTTAAGATT